ATTCCGCAGCGATAAGCAATGTTACAACCGAGCTCGTTTGGTGGCTAGGGTTGCGCAAACTGATTACACTATCGATATATCGATACATCGATATATCGATTTCTTAAATATCGATGGCTGATATATATCGAAATAAAAATATCGATATTGATATTCTATTTTGAAATAACTATAAAAATAAAACATTATAGTTTATCCTCAGTGGGGTATTTTCGGTGAAAAAAAGGGGGGGGCGAGCTCCGGATCTTGCCCCCTCCTCAAGAAGAAAAAAAACCGTTAGGTTTAATTAATGTTAGTATTATTGTTATTATTATAGGTTTTATTATTAATTAATTCATAAATCATATCTAATATAGGTATATTTCTTTTAACAATATAAACATACTTGTTATACCTATTATATTATATATAACTATGTAAGTCGGATAGTTTCATACTTATCATACACTGATGATACTTCTCTACTTTTCACAGACAAATTGTGGGAAGGAGTTACGATTTGTATAAATGAGGTTCATAAATCTAATACTAAATAATGATAAAACAATGTTTATGAATTTCATTATTGTCAATCCAATATCAATACATAGCTGTACTTATAGTAAAATATGCAACGTAAACACTTGTAATGTATATACATATGTAAATGATAAAAAAAAAATTAGCCTTTATATTTATCAATCCTTGATAATAACTGAACAATAAAATAACATAAATTAAAATAGTATCTTTCGAATGTAGTACATATATAAATAATAGTTTATATAAAAAACCCTTAAAATTTGTTTAAAAAAAAACTCTTAATAACTAATATAGGAACTTTGAGATCAATACAATTCTAAAAAAGGCCAATATTTGTTGTCCAACGACTGTAAAAATAATAATTTTGTAAGTGTTCCTCCAGAAAGTCGATTTCTTGACTTAGTAACTGTAGCTCCGGCCTTACTGAAAAGTCTTTCTGTTGGAACCGAAGTTGCCGGTATTACTAAATATTTCATTGCTATCTTGTAGACTCTCGGAAAAGATATTTTTGTTTCTTCCCAATGTTTTAGAGGATCATCATCAATATTTATTACAGGCTTATTTAAATATGCCCGCAATTCATTTATTGAAGTAGTATTTACCATTTTTTTATCATTGTTAGTACAACAAAGATTCCTGTGAAGTCCCCATAAATCATATTTTACTTCGCTTGAATTTTTTTCCTCATCATTAGTTATAATGTTGGAACATGTATATCTTGGATCGTCTGAGTTTTCCAATTCCATGATATTTACAATGAGAGTTTGTGTTTTTGAGTTAATTAATGGGTCCCTTAGATGTAAGTCCTTGAATCTTGGATCTAAAATGGTGCAGATAGCTAATATCGAGTTCTGATCATAAATACTACATCTATAATTTAACTCTTCAAGTAGCTTCTGTTTTAATTTTTTTGCCATTAATATTTCTGGTTTTTGTTTTTCCAGTTCATTTTTTGTACAGGAGATGAGTGGTAATACTTTACTTGACATCACAGACTTTTCCACTGATAATTCTTTAGTAAGCACTTCCATTGGTCCTAACAATGAGCAAATGTCTTTGAGATGTCTTAATTCAGTAGCCGTTATCATATCCGGTGCATCATCCTCTGGAAAATTCATTAAAACATATGATATGTTGTTTGCCAACCTCAAAAACCTTTCCAACATATAAAAGCCACTGTTCCACCTTGTCTTAACGTCCAAAATAAGTTTTAAACATAAGCCATCTTTAATATCTGAAAATCAGAAATTTGTTTTAATTCTTCAGTAAACATGTTTTTCAAGTTATTCATATATTCACAATTTAATACTATCTAATGTATTATAATAGAAATAAACAAATACTAGTTATGTGTACATTATATTAGAAAGTTGTTTTAATTAACTACACATTAAATTTATATAGTTTTGAGTTTATTTTAATTACTTAGACTTTGTTGGTAATTCCTTAGGGCATCACTTGCTTTTGATTTCCTTTTAAAAAATTTAACAATTTCTCGCACTTTGTTAATTATTTGAGGAATACCACCGGTCTTGATATGTGTAACAGTATCAATTTCCTGTGTTTTGTCAATCGCTTTTTCCACTACCAAATTAACCATGTGCGCCAGGCATGATATCTGTCTATCAGAGCCAAAGTTATCAATTACAGTTTTTTTTATATTTGCAGCACTATCACTGACAACAGCTACAACTTTTTCATTTGTTACATTCCAGTCTAGTAAAGTTTTAACCAATATTTCTCCCAAATACTTGGATGTATGACCTTCAAAAAGTTGTACTGTGCCAATTGTAACTGAAAAAAATATTGATACAAATTACTGTTTTACTTTATTAAACCAGTTTACAAGATAACAATTATACCTGATTCTAGCTGTGCTGAATTAATAAAATGTATTGTTATGCCAAGATAGCTTTTCATACTCATCGTTTCCGTCCACGCATCCGTAGTTACAGCTACATACGTTACTTTAGAAATTGTTTCCCGAACTTTAGTGGATGTCACGTTAAATGTTTCGTTGATACGTCGAACAATAGTATCATGATTGGGTGGATTATACAATGGACATAGTGTTTTTAGCATATGTCTAAATCCTTCACTTTCAATGGTATTAAATGATACATTTTGCTTGCAAAAATAATAAACGATACTGTTCGTTATTTTTGATTCTTGTTTCCCACCTATAAAAATATATATAATATTATGAACATAGTATAGGTATTTCTATTTTGCTATGTTTATTATTATATTATAATTTTTATTTTTGATTACACTTTAAATAATTCAAATGTAACACAATGTAATAAAAGATTGGATTGAATTTTTTGAGAAAAAACTTTCCTTTAATTTTCATATACTATGCCCTTTAATTTGGTGCACTAACAATATCACTCAAAATCATATAGTCTAACTACTCAACAACTGTCCAGAATAACATTCTAAGATATTTATCATTTAAATAAATTATTATTATTATTAAATTAATTATGATTTTAGGATAAGAATTGTAATAAATTTACCTTTAATAGACTTTATATTTGATATCATATTTGGAAGAGTAAGTTGTTGAGTTTTTGTAACTGAAATTGACTTTGTTTTATTTTGGTCATCTTGTACTGGAAGTACCAATGTACTGGAACTGCACTCATCAAGATCCTGTCAGAATATTATTTTAATTTATTTAGCAATTAGGTTATTAGATTAGGTAGATTAGTAGGTACTTATGAGTACTCTACTAGTATAAGATAATTAATTTAAAAAATATGGCCAATGTGGTTGGCCCTACCCCTGGCTACGCCACTGATGTACATATTGACTGATATTTTTACATAATTTTATATAAATTCTTATATGTTTGGTTATACTTACATGCTCCAAAGATACTGGGTCGTCAATTAGAGACGGATCATTAAGTGGTACTATTAGAGATTGAATTTTCTGTTTTTTGTTTTGCGTTTGATCATCTCGAGGTTCTCTTAAATGATTTTCGTAATGTTTTCTAAGATTACCCACTCCTCCGTTGGGTGTCTTGTAATTATTACCACAGATGTTGCATTTATAATTAAATTGATCTTTTTTTTGTAAAAAATTTCAGTAGCACAGTTTTAGATGCCATTATTTAGAGTATCAAAGTATTTAAAGTATTTAAGTATCAAATGTTAAATAACAAATAAATAATAATTATAAAATATACTGCGGACTATCTGCGGTCTAGTATTCTATATTAGTGTACTGTGGCACCGACGCACTGTACACTTATTACAATTTACAAATATGAAATATGACTAACAAACCAACACCGGCAACACAGACGATAAAAAATAAAACAACAAACGTGTTTTCATACCACAATATTCATTAGGTTATTTTATATTCTGCGTCTGATAATAGTTAAAAATAGACTGTAAATTGTTTGTAATACTAATAACACTATAACGACATAACGTCTATAACAGTAATAACTAATAAGTAATAACCTTTCGGAAGAACTGTTAAATGTAATAATGTATTAATGTTTAATTTTGCCCTTTAAGTTATGTAGCATCACTAGGTGTATTTTGGAAAACGTTTAGTTTTTTGTACGATGTTACTGAAATTCGAGATTTGGATAGTATTTAGAAGGCGTAGACGCGTAGTATTAAAAGTATTACTGGATAATTATTTATTAAACTATAAATGTTTGGAGAATTATGATTATTCATAATTTAAAAAAAAATTTAAATATCGATGCATAAATATCGATAAATGTGATATGTCACGATTACAAAATATCGATACGATAATATCGATATTTTTCTCCGAAATATCGATATTTCGATAATATCGAAAATATTTGCGCAACCCTATTGGTGGCTAATCTAACGCGATACGAACGCGTTGCGGAGCGTGCGATGCAACGATCAAAATTATCGAA